CTTTCCCCTACGCGGCGCATTGGCTGCAAGTGCATGCTTGCTCTTGCGCTCCATTCGCGGGTCAAGGCCTTCGACCCGGCGTCGGAACTTCATTTGTCTGTCGGCGCGTGTCGCGTGCGGAAGCAATGGTCGAACTATCATAAAATGGTGTTCTGTGACAGTGTATAGTGTATCGGATGCGATCATACACAGTTCAATAGGCGGAGTGGTGATGATTACCGCGTTGTTAATCGCGAATGAAGATGTCGTGATGCGGAAATCTGGGTGTAGCGAGTCGCGGCTGGTCGTCTTTGAAGAGTGTTTGCTCTGCTTGCAATGTGCAACACACAGTGTTTTCCAACGTTCTCTCTCGTATTTTAGCTTCTTCGAGGTATGATATTCTTGTGTACCAACTCCGGATGATGGTCACCAGTTTTGGCCTGTATGACTGAAAAATCGGATACCCGCTGGTTTGATTGACATACTAATATGGTACAATAAGCCAATGTACGCTATGTGTTCATGAAGGCTTCGAGAACGCTAAATATCATACTCCAACATATTTCTAAGTTCCCGAGAGGTCGAAAAATATTTGTGAAACATTGGTCTTGCTTCCATACTGAATACCATCACTTATGCTGCCAGGCGGTCACCTGCCTCAATATCATACGGTACTCATGATGCGGAAATTTCGGTCTAAACTTGGTTTTCCTGTGATTTGAAATTATTTTTCCGAAAATCTCCGTTGTTGAGAAGTCGAATGACTGGAAAATCGCGAAGAGGAGTTGAATTCGGGAAAATTCAACGACAAAGTTCAAACGCGGCTTCCTTACTGTCGTGAAGGAAAAAGACCGCAAACGAGGTTGGAATGATTTGAACTGGTTGCGTGTCTTTTAAAAAGTGCTTGTACAGTAAGGTATAAAAATTAACCGGCAGGTTATTATTGACTTATTTCAGAGTGAGAACAGTTGATGCGACATGTTCATTGAAAATCTTGTAAAGACTAGTTCATCATGATTTTTGAAGCAACAGTACTGTACCGTATTCCATACGAAGTGAATGAGTTACGGCCATAGGCAAAATGCGTCGAATTGGTTTAATTTCGTTTAAAAAATTTTCGTTTGGAGAATATTTTCCGAAAATGTACTGTAAACTATAATTCCTTCTGTTCGATTTAGACTCTTCGCGAAATTTCTGCTTGAAATTTCCTATCAATCCTAAAGTTTAACCTTCAGGCGGAAGTCGAAAGCTTACGGAAATGGTGGAATGTCTTTTGAAAAGGAAATTAGGTGAGTATCTCGATTTTGACAGTCCAACAAGCCGTGAGATTTTCCTAATCAATCTCGTAAACGCTGATAATTCTTAAAATTTAATATATTTTTTCTACCTACCGATAGAATTTTCGCTGAAAAATCTCGGAAATCCTGATACGGTATTCTCATGGAGCCATCTTACTTGCGGACAATTCTAGAAAATACTTTCGCGGTATTCTTTGTGATTAGGTTCCGCCTCCCGAGATAATGTTAATACCAGACGATTCTGCCCGGGTATTGATAAAATCGTTAATTCAGTCGTTTTTGGATTCTGTGTTTATTTCGCGATGCCACATCTTCTTGAATAATTTTTTAAATAGTCTTGAGCATCCGTTTTGAGTTTCCTGGGCCAATACCAATCCTTGTTCTAAAGAAGTCGGGGTTTCGACTTCTGCGCAATTGAGCTCGCGAACGCTCATTGGCGGAACCGTCAGCTGAGTATGACTCATTCCGGCATTGTCCGATACAGGCGGGGCTTAACCAGCCGTCTCACTTTTTAGGGTGGGGGAAAAAATGGGAATGCATCGTCTCAATAGCTATGATTTCATTATCGAGTTCTAACTTTAGAGGGATTATCCGAACGGATCCAATGACAACCCGGTAATACTGTATCGCGGTATTTTCTCCGGATTTCTCTCTCTGTCTTGAGTCTTGCCCAGCGTAGACGCTTGATGCTGTGCGAGTTCCAACTGGCATCGCGGGCCAGAGAGGGGAGTTCAGCTTGCCGGGGAAAGCGGTATGAGCGCGCGAGCTCTCCGCGCCTCACCCTCCCCAGTTTCCTCGTGCCGGCAGAAATGAATCTTCCTCATTATTGGAGGAGCTTCCTCCAGTTGTTCGTCAGTCTTGGGGTGAAGTGGTCGCAGGGTGGCATTATTTTGACGCAGTGATTGAAGAACGTCTGCTGCGCGCGTACTCCAGTGAAACTTTGAACTTCGGAAGATGCTCGTGTGGGTTTATTTCGCCCTCAGGTGCCGCGTGACCTATACGTCGAATCGAGCGGCGGATGACTCATAAGCACCGTTGCTTGAGGAGTGAACATGTGGGTATCAGAAATGCCAGACACCTGACTTGACGCACCTCGTCGTCAAACATAAGTTGCGTGAGATCTTGATATCGCTGTCGTCGTTACCAGAAAACTGATAGATATGCTTTGTCAACTTGCAATGCGTCTTCACGCGTCATTCCAGGAGTCTTTTTTTGTTAAAGTTAATTCTATTTTTCGAGTTGCAGTCGATTCAATTCTGCAAGCTTTGCTTTGTGTTCCGATGAGACGTCGGTGATTTTGAGTTGAAGATGACCTTCATATTCCTCTGTTACTTGCTATAGAACATATAAATACAATTTTTGTGCTGGTTTCAAGTGTCGATACAGCTTCCATTCCGCGACTTGGAAATACCCAAGAAGATCTTGGAAAGTTGAGGAAGGTTGAGTTGGCTTCCAGTTGAGAAAATTTGCTGCGGGTCCGATTGGTAATCACTGATGCCATTGAATCGAGCAGAAAATTCTTGGGCTCCGTTATTTTTCATGTAAGAGCTGTATGGCAATTGCCTGAGGCTTCGTGTGGAGGAAACTTGAATACACGTTGAACTTATGAACATTCCTTTCATAAAAAATGGCCCCATGAAATTTTAGATCGGCAGCCAGCACGATTTTGAACGAAATTCAGTACTGTACTCAGTGTTTCTGCAAACATTTATCGTACATTTGAGTTTCTGAATCAAAATTTCCACCCTTTGCATCGTGTCTGTGCATTTGAGAATTGTTGAAGAATGAATAATGCGGGATAGGTTTTTTTCCGCATAGTCATTTGCGAATATTGTATATTGTTTAGCCATTCCAATGAATCAGGGATGCCTGTTCAAGCCTCACAGTCGTCATTTTCAACAATTAAATGTCTGTGAAATTTCTTTAACCGAATTAGATTTTTTTTTGCGTTGACCGTACTTTTAAAATCTTCAAATTTTCACTGTGATCTGTGCAGGTGCTTCCTCTTCAATGGTTACAAAAAATCAGGGTGATTTCCATCTAATGAATAAAAATGAATACCTTCCCTACTCGATAATGCGCTAAAGCGAAATCCGGTTCCCTGATGTTAGTTCCATTATGACCTAACAGTCAACACTTCACAGGAAGTGTCGAGCACCTATTCCTTTTGATATGCTGAACAAAAATATAATTTGTTGCTCGGCATTGCTCTCGACTATGCGAGTTCATTTAGGAGTTTTGTCTGGAAATTTGAGTCTTACGATCTGAGTCTTTACTTAATTCAATGTTCAATGTGTGCTGACGAACGGCTGATTAGAAACGACAGTTGCAGTTCAAAATGATCCAAAATTTTAAAATTTCCAATCACCTGCGTTTGATATGACGTTTCGAAAAGCCCTTTGATTAGGACTGAAATCAAATTTACTGTGTTTTGTGGATTTTTATTTCGTCGAATAACTCGAATTTCAGATATCTAAAGGCATTCAGAGCTTTGCGGTTCGTTTTCGAAGGCCACTTGCGAAATATTCCTGCTGAACGCTTATTGTCGAATGCTGGATTTACGTCTCATCACTTAACCGCATATTCGTGGGTTTATGGGTTTTAAGGACATGGAGACACCATTTGCACAAGTGATATGTCTTTCAGCCTTGTCAAAACTGGATTAGGCACTGACGTATTGTCTAACTCTGCGCATCGCGTGTCAGAAAAATTTGACTTGGGCTTTTTCACGATTACCCAGGTTACCTTAATACCGTACAATACAGTACTGTTACCTTTATCGATCGCTGACCTTGATACTCGTGTATCATGGGTTACTTCATGATTCATAATCACCGCGCTTCTTTCTCCAGCGGCACGAAACAATGCGGGGTTATTTTGTGAACGATCACCACGCACCAGAGACCTTTGTGAAGTGAAACAGTGGCATTTTGTGTGCGCAGTTTATCTTATACAGTACTGTACTCGTACATGTATATATTCGTGAAGTGCGTTGCGAACTCGTGAAATTGGTGATCATGTACGATATTCAAATATGAGACGCCATCATGATTGGACATCTTGATTGTTTGTGGTCTCAACATGAAATAATTTGCATTCGAATCTAAGACGCACGTTTCAACTATAGTGAAATATATTATATGTATGCCTGAGGAACTTGCCACACGTGTGACATCTTATATTAATACAGTAATTAATTTGCCAATACTGTACTGCTGTATTTTAAAAGCGCATTTCCTCATTCAGATCTTTGTGTTCGAATTATTTTTGTCTCGAAGCGTCGACCTGCTTCTTGCATAGGATTCTTATTGAAATGAATCTTCAATTTTTTACGAGATTTTACATTATGGGATAGAAGAACTTGCTTTTCGGGCAAATCGAATGCGAACGCAAATCTAAAATTAACTCTCATTATTCTTCCGAGTTCTGAAATAAAAGATGGCCCAATGCAATAATCGAGTAATATTAATACGGATATCCATTGATACGACTATTTTATCTGTTTCGTGAGGTGGATTTGATTATAAATCGTTTGTGAGATGAAAAGCTCATCTGTGTAAAATTTATTAAGAAAATGTTTTTCGCCAAGACATGCGAGGAATCCCACTCAATTTGCCTCGTTCTGCTGCTAAAGCTTTGCCGCAATTGACCTTATCGTTCGGATCAAGTTTTTTTTGTTAAAAGTGCGTTTCAATTTCTATCTAAGTGCATTCAATTTTTTCCATGCAGGTTTTTTTTTCGGTTGAATTAGTTTGTGAGAATTCCGCACTCGTAAAAAGCATCTTTTCGTGACAGTGACGTATTTGGTTCAAGTTTCCTGAAGGTTGCAAATGACCGTAAGTACCCTATTTATTATGATCTTTCGGTTCAGCGAATTTGTCTTATTACATTTTCCTTGCCTTCACTTTTCTAATTTTGATGCTTTTTCAATTTTCGAATCTTTTTCTAATTTTGACAATTAAAAACTTGTCGAAAAAGTCTGAGCTACGCAGCACCATTTTGCGAGAACAGTTGTACAGTACGGTACTGTATCGCATTTGAATCTTCTAGATTTTTTTCCGTGGCGTGGTTCGTATTCTGCTTTCTTTTTCTTATTTTGAGCCGATTTTAATGTGAATTGTGTTTTGTCACTTTTCGTAAAATGAAGTCAGAGCTTACGAGCGCCGTTCCATCGGGGAAAAATATCAATGCAATATTTCGGAATCTTCACTTGAACTGCTCCATTTTCTTCTGTTCAAAGAACTTCGACGCTAATGGAGTATGGTCTTCAAAATTCACAGAGATCTAATTAATACAGTGTGATTTTCTGTCCTCCACGGAAATTTTCTCATGTTTACTGAATGTAATTTTTCTATGACATGCGATATTTTATTTTCTGAGAAAATGTTTCCATGTAATTTGTGGGCTAGTCTGAATTTCTTGAAAATTTTTCGTGAGCCCTTGTTCTTGAGCATCGCACACCCCTTCAGGCGAAGATGTAGATTACACGTCTGTGCATTATTCATTTCACTATCCTGTTGGTGTTTTTGGTTAAGAACCTCGGACTCTCATTAAACGCATCATTCAACGCATTTGATTATGCCAATCAAATGCGTTGCTGCTGTTCATTTTCTCCTTCATTATAGTCATGTTTTCAACCGCATAGTGCGGTTTAAGCATCAAAATCTTCTGTTCATTCTCTCCTGTCTTCTTATTCAAGATGCGACATCTGTGGATGTTACTCGCCATGTTGGCGGTGACAATGAATTGCGTCGATTCAAGATGCATGATGTGTGATCACTTGAACCGGGACACCCCGTCGTCGATCTGTCCTCGTCGATGGGAAGAGTGTGGAAACTGCAAGAACGGATTCGTTGCGGACAAGCTCACTGGGAATCGGGAATCCGAAATGTGCCTCAAGGCGACGGTTTCAGCTGCTGCTGACCAACCGCTCGACGATTCTGCACGTGAGCGAAAAGCTTTTTTCATTTGTCGAGTTATGCGAGGGTTTTTGTTTTGTTTTTCCATTTCGATTAAGAAACACTGCATCTCCGATGAAAGTGCAAAAGGTCAAATATGACTCAAGGTTCAAGTCGGTAGGAAAAATGTTGGAGTATTATTTCAATATTTGTTCATCTGCCTGGACTCGCGAGTGTTATGCGCTTGTTTGATAAAACTTAGGAACGAGTAAAGTAGTTGTCAAAATATAGATTCTTAGTATGAATAACGTTGATCGAATTTTTCGATGAACACTGAAATGGGAAATGAAGATTTCAAAACTTAGGAAAAGAAAGTATTTATATTGAACCAGCAGTGAATATCGTTACTGTTACAGAAGAGTGATTTACCAATATCAAGTGTCTCCGCTGCTTTCCACTTACGATTACAATTTTGAGATTCTTATTCGGAAAGCACACATTTTGTCTTGTTGAACGGCTTCATGAGATCGTAAAAAAAGGCATGCATAGTAACTTCTCACAAAGAGGAGAAACAAAACACTAAGTCAGGTTACCCTGCCATTGCCACTGATGGTTTGTTCGAAGAAACACCTCTTAATCTAGCGTTTATGCTTTTTTCAGGCATTCCATCTTTTTTTGCCCAGCATGAAGTCGTATTTTCTGTTGCTGGATTAACTTTATTGTTTGCTGGTATGCTGGGCACACTTCTGTGGAGGCGGAAGATCTGTGCAAATGATCCCCCATTGAATCAGAAGATCACGCAAGCTACTCAGGAACAGCTGAATGCAACCACTGCTCTTCCTGGTGAGTTTCTAAATGCATTTCCTTAATTATTTTTGCCCAACTGTGTATGCTTTGCCTGCTGCTCATTTTTTTTCTTAGCAATAACTGATTGGTTTATTTTCTTACGGCGTGCGTGAAAATAAATTCCATCAGTCATGAATGACCGAATATTTAAGATTAAAAGAACGATACCATTTTTTTCCATGTGTGGTAAGCTTCATTTTTTTTTTTTTTGGTTTAGCACCATCGACGTTGAATCTTATCTTATCTGTGTTCGGAGTGTCGAGCGTCGATGCAGTCGAAACATACTAGAAGTTCATCGTATATTCCAGTAAAGTCTGGAATTCATCCAGCGAGTTTCTAAGTACAGCACGTTTTTCTAATTGTTTCTCCAGCTGCTCATTCTGTTGGAGAACTTGGAGCAATACAAAATTTATTTATTTTCGGTGTACATGACGATGCATAAATTCTATCAGTCATGGGTGGCCGGAAGTTGAAGTTCTCGAAGAACGATATCGCGATACGCCCGAGTATGGAGTGCATTTCACGCTAATATCTCTAATTTTGCACCAGTCAAAAAGTCATGATTAATTCAGATGCTTTGTCACGCGCGATGGCTTAATTGTGAAAGTGGTTCCCCGACCGGGAATATGAGTGCCAGTATTTAAAACTGGTCAAGATAGATGTCGTTCGTGGCTGTTTGAAACAGTAGTTTGTCTTTGCTTCGCACGCAGATCAAGTGGCAACCGATGGTGGCCCAGAAACAGCGAACCTGCTGACAGATGTGCGCGTTGTGAATGATGATGGGATTCAACAATTCGGTAAGATGATGAAAAATTTGCATATTTATGACCGGAATGGATTTAGACGTGTTTTCTCCTTTCACTGAGAGCAGATTCTGAGCGAATGTCTTCTGGGTTCGGGAGTGAGCCGTACGTTCACGGGAGTATTTTCGATATTGGGAATACGACCTCACTTCCACGCAATGTGCAGCGAGAAACTCCGGTCCGTGCTGTTCCTTTTAGTAGCTGTCGAACAATCCCTTCTTTCCCACACGACGTTGCTGGATCTGATGCCGTCGATTTTGCGCTTCCGTTTTTGAACCTCGGAAACCGCCACCAGCCCGCATCGAACAGCAAGTAAGTCTAAAAAGATTATCGGGATTATAAGTTGATTGTATTCACTGAGTGCTTCTTCTGATTCATTTTTTTTTTTAATGGGAAGGCTGATATTGTGAGGTGACTGAGGTCTAAAAAGTCCGAGAGGCTTCGGTTGAAGTTAAATGTTTTCCTCCGCGGGCGCGTGGACATTCCTTCTGCAAGAATATTGTCTAGCTGGTTTAGTTTAAATCGCTGTATTTTATCGCCACGTTGCAGTGGCTGAATCAACTGAATTTTGACGGTTGTGTAATTTACAGTATTTTCCTTACAAGAAGTGGTTTTGTCAGATGCTTGCAAAATGACGACGTTTTTCTAGCGTAATCTTCAAATCCCACACGTTGCGAAGGATTTTATTTAATTGCTTGTAATATGGCTCGATGGCTGTCAGACCTAGGAAACTTTCGTCAAGATGACTTTCCAGTCATCGAAAATGTTGGTGTCCTGCAGAGATGCAGTCCGAAAATTCTTCAGCAAAGGAAGTTTGGAAAATAAATCTCATCTCCTCATGATTGAGTGAAATGCTTCAACTCTCCGTCTTTTCGACATTTCAAGCTAAATGGATGAACTAAAATTGTCATGCAATTCAACGAAGTATTGAACATTATTTTGATGAATTACGTTAACTGTAGTGTACGAGCATAAATCTGATCTAAGAATTAAAAAAAAGCAAAACTTATGAAGCATTGCTCGTAGTTTTATTGCTTCTCAAGTGTTGTTTCTGTCATATTTTCACTCACTCCGTCGCCGAATAGTTCGGTAGCAAAATTTGCTGAATTGCATGAACTGTTGAATGACGAGCTCTTACCGCTTCCTCTTTTTTCCTAATATGGAATTTGTCTCATAATTCCGTTGCTTTCGTCGTTATTTTTCAGTCCTACGCATGATGCCCTTTGGAATTATCGAGGCGATGGCTTGGCTGATTCAGATGAAGGGGATGTGAATTTAGATGGACCAATAACGTCAGTGCCGGATGAAATGCGGGTTCCTGGTACACCCTACTACCAACCTTCGCAGGTACGATCTGATTTTTTTTTCTATGATGATCAGGCTTCCAAGTTTCGCTAAGAGGCCTTGAACATTTCACGAGAGGAGCAATTGAATGAAAGCTAAATTTTATTGCTCTTTAAAATGCGTTCATGTTGGTTTGCGAGCAGAATGAGTGGATGGTTTTATTGTACTGTACTATATAAAACCGAGTTCGGTGCTTCCTGATCTCAGCTATATTTCAAAACAAAGCTTACGATGCGGTAGTTCTTTTCTCCTCATTATTAGTTACTGGACCGATTGAGTCAGTCGATTTTGGTATAAATCTTGAAGCGAGATTCTCATAACGAAACAAAAGGTCACTTTTAACCTCCACCACTTTCTCAAGCATGTCTTTTTCGTTGCAGCAGTCCATTGCAGGTCGAAACCGTTCTTCCGACGAAGGCATTAGTTCGTCAGTTGATGGCATTTCCGATATGATGAATCGTGCTTCCGTGCTCGAAACGAATGATTCCATGGATTCCATCAGTCGCCTTCAGGCGGACAGCAATAACTCGACGGCGGTTCTGTCGCGTGTGGCCCACTCAATTCCTGCAGAAAATCAAGTGGCTATTATCCCGCATTCCTTGGAAAACGAACGCTTAGAGGAAGGCGCCGAGGCGGGTCGAGCGTCTGATCGCCGTCGTCCTTATGAGGAGACTAACGTCGAGTTCGGGATTGCTCTGAAAATCAAGCATCGCCGGTATGACTGAAATATGCACCTGCTCAATTTTTTATTTTATTTTTTACCTCCACCGGAAGACGTCATCAAGAGGTTGAAATGAGAGCTATTTTTCTTTGGGCCGAAAAATCTTTTCCATAAAGAGTTCGGTTCTTCGGGTATTTCGAGCTATAATTTTCTATACCTCAGTGAAACCTCAAGAAAAGCAATAAGCATCGACATCTACTCTATGTTGGATCTTATTCGAGCCCAGTGTTAAATTGATTTCTCTCCATGAATAATTCCAACTGCAGCAGTTACCTGAATCGCTAACGAGAGACTTTCATTCAGCTTTTGCTTTTTTTTTCTGGAGTCTCCGATGTGATCGCTTTAATTTGATTTTGTAAGATATTGTGCAAATATTCACTTCGAGGAAGATCTCGTGAGATTTTATTTCGTCCTTATATCGGCGAGAAGGTCGCGTGATTCAATTCTGTGATTTAATTTTCACGCGTCCGAGTTGTTGCGGAAATTGTCGCCATCGATCCGCCGACCTCAGCCTGATTGTTTTCCATATTGCAGTTTTGATTTGCGATGAAGAATTTTCCCCTCGAAATTATCAAAATAAATGTTCTTCGTATTTGGTCCGCATGCGCTGCGAAGGTACGGTACTATTTTCTCACGATTCCCTTCCCATTTTATCGGAATTCCGAGTGATTTATTGTGGGACAAACGGGTTTCATGTCGGAAAATATTCGTTGTACTGCATGTCTGAGGTCTCTGAGCTTCCGTTTGCGGAACTTCTCAATGTCAAATTCAAATACGCATTTCGATGTGCTGTGAGAGGATGCGGATTTGACTTTCACGGAAAACTGTCTACCGAAATACCTGATATATTTCGATAATTCATGCTTAGACTGAATTTTTTCGGAATTGTTGTCCGATACGCTGTTGAAGTTGGTCTAACGGGCGCTGTGCGGTTGTCCAGAGTGACGCTAGTTTTCGGAAAACTGTACCAGACGTGAAAGTCTGAAGTGGATCTTCGTTTTTGAACAGAGGCGAACGTATTTTTGCCGCAGTCCTTCGGGTTTCAAAAGAAGTGGCTGGCTGTTTTTTTGAGCTGTTTCCTCCATGTCTGTTTGGTTGACGTCAACGACGGAACTGAGGAAGGAATTTTTTTTTGTGATGAGGGTGTGATGATGAGATTGGAAGGTTTTCATGGCTTTGATATTGGAGGTTACGCTCAAGTGAGAAACTATGGTTCGTTGAAAACATCGGCGAATTTTGCAATGGGAGCAAAACGTTGCAAAAGCACGTTTTAGGCGCTGCCTTTTCCTCTTGTCTGAGGGCTATTGTGCGCTAATGTTACTCCGTTCCGGCATATTCGGTTGATTTTTTGACTGTTGGAAATAAAAGGCGTTGAATTCCCTGGATCGTCTTCAATTCATTCGAATTTCTAGCAGTATATAATAGTGCCGGTTTCGTGCCAAGAAATTAGAAAACGTTACGCTATTCTTTCTTCGAAATTAATTGAATTCAAAATGACCTTGTTAAATTTTTATTCATCGCGAAAAAACACAACGGCCATCATTTTAATTTATTTCCCTCTGATCGCAATGTTATTATACCTGCTGATGTATTTCGAAATTCGTGGGAATCTCGGTAAAAATATGTACATCAGTATTATGAACCTCTTCTTTGATGAATTCTATCCTTCCTTGTTCAAAATCACCGCACCAACCAAGTCATCATGCTCCGGATATAAGTAAAATCTAGTTCTGTCTGTAATGCTAAAGTAGGAAATGTGCAAATACTTGTAGTTTCTGAGTACTATACAGTACTGCTTTACACTGAAAGCGTATCCTGTTCTCACACATCATCTGGCTCCGGTAACTGATGGTAAATCATGTTCATCAGCTGTACAATCTAGCCTTCGGGTACACTTGGGAAACTGGATAACAAGAGCTGGAAGGATTGTCTCCAGATCCTGCGAGAGAAATTCATTCCCTTACATTCTTTTGATCTAAGAAAAGCTGCTCATTTTATGCAGTTGGTGTGTGTGTGTGTGATTGTGCTGCTTCTGGTTGTCGTCGAAGATACAGCCATACAGGTATACATAATTTTCGCGCTGCTCCAACCCTTATCTTTATTGCAGTGTGTGATTGATTAAATTCAAGTACAAATCAAGACGTTTCCATCCCTGACGAAGATCTGCTGAGGTCGTTCGAATGAGATATAGTACAAACAAACTTTAGCGAATACTGTTGTATTATGGATTTTGATGGACAAATTTCATGAACATATTCATGTAAATTGCGTACTGTCCACGGCCACATTCCACTGAGTTGATGGTAAAGCATTAATTTGAAGCGTAGAAACGGTACAACCATTGAACCCTTTGAGTTTTCCTAGTTTGGTACTTGTGGTATCTCGCAATTCGACCCTAATCCGTTGCTGGTCTCGGGTCGAATTGCGAAGCAACGTCAAATGCGATGTTCTCTATATCGTATTTGACGTTTTTGACCATCTCTGTGGGTCGACTTGCGGGGCCTAGGTCGAATTGCGAATCGACCTTCCAGCAAATTCGACCGTCGAATTGCGAGGTACCACCTACAGCGCAGCTGACGGAAAATACAAGCGAGAATAGACGGAAATTACAAGCGAGCAGATTTCAAGTTTTCAGCTGGGGCCAGTTTTCGGGCTTGAGTGATGGTATAGTTGTTTACATGCAGAAGTTCAAAGAGTTTTCTAAGTATTCGTTATAATACTATTTTTGAATGACCACATATACTGTTCATACCGTATCAAACCGCATAACGTATTCGAGTGTGAGACGTACAATATATTCATGGACGATTTTGATTTCCGATTCTTTGGGTGAAAATCAATCCGAATAAAGCATTAATTATCTTCATCACTGAAGCAATTCCACAGCAAGCTGCACATGCAGCACATAATGACATAAACATAAAATTCTTATCTAATCTCTGAAAACGTTATCACATTCCGGAGTATCCATCAGACCAAATCTCATGTACGGTACATACAGTATATATATTCATGCTGCTGGAGATGACGAGCATAGTGTATATGCATCTGGCTAATCAAAGTTTCAACTTCATAATCATACCTGTACATATATATGCCTGAATCTACGTGAGCAACTTGTCATTTAATACTTGTACTTCCATTGATGAAAATCTTTGGCGAAGTGTAAATAGTAGCCTAGTGTCCAGCACCGACATGTATTGATTTGAAATATTAGCCAGAAATGTTGCCCGTGGCTTCGCGGAAAAACTGAATAATGCATTCCTATTGAAATTGTGTTTGAACAGAACGATTGAAAAGCGATACAAGTGCGCATGATACGATTTAAAATTCACATATCTTGATACTCTTATGCGGCTGCTGATGGTGATTTACGATCTAAAATTATTTAAGTTTTGAATCCGTAATGTTCGAACGGCGAATGAGGAGACAAACATTAAAACTAAATTTCGATCTGTTGATCAGTTTGAGCCGAGGGTATGTGTCTTTATCATTCTGAGTACTGTAAATAATATCCGTGCGTTTTCAAATATTGTATTTTGGCAGAATAAGTGCTTTTGAAAAATGGGTTCTGGGATGAGAATAAGCAGGCTTCAGTGCCACAGGATGAGAAAAAGTTTTCCAAACAGTTCAAAGTGGCGAGCGGTTCAAAATGCGCTGGAATATGCAGGATTGCGTCACTTTCCATCATGGACCCCTACCAGAGGTGCGGGATACAGATAGGTTCGTCCTGATCGAGAATAATTGGTGCCAACATGGTATGCCAAGCCAGCTGGGCGGAACCCTTCACCATATCCTCAAACCCAACTTTGAGAGGTGGGTTTCTTCTTCATAGTAACGCAGATGGAAAAACAGGGTTTAACCTTCCTTTTTTTATAACTACCAGGAAAACTGAGTCATATTGGTGGCTTGCTATTGGAGATAACATCATCCCTGTTACGGACAATTTTAGATTGTCAGGTATTTGACGATGTATCAATGTGAAAGCGTTGCTTCGAAATATCTGGCAGCAGGCTTGCATTGCCTGTTTTCCCAGAGGATTGAGTCCTGTTGAAATGCATCTTATTTTTTTATTCAAGGATTACAGTAATCTTATTATTGAAACCCCTGATTTACAACCATCTAAAACTGGGGCATGCCTCTTATGCAGGTATACATCTACGGGGGAAATACATGATAAAAACGAAGGTGCACAAACTAAGGCGAGTATCTTACTTGATGAGTGTGCTGGTAATTGAGTAAATACAGTTTCACTTATATTGTATATTGTATATGTTATTAGGTTCTCTGATGTGTCCATGTACCGTATATGTCAGAATGTCTGCATGCTGTTGGATCACATTTTCCCATGAACTTCAACATGAACATTTTATTCACTTTACATGCTTGTACTGCGTATTAGCGAAAAAATACATAAATACATAAAAAATGTTTTCAAATGCAAGATGTAAAAAACTGTTCAAAAGAAAGCCATGAAAAATCAACCTATATGGTTTGAAAAGGAGTCAAGAAAAGGAACACACACATATAGTACTGTACAGTGTACACAGAGTAGGGAAAATCCCTAAGAAAGGATACAATTAGTCTGTTTTAGGAAATTAATGCGAGTGAACTTTTGAATTCAATATAAATTATTTTAATTCTTGTCCATATCAATAGCTTCGTTTGATTCGGAGACATACAAATGTAAAAACAAAGTTTTTTCTGAAAATGCTGAGCCTCTCTGAGTTAAATACCGATTGACCAGCCAACAAATTTGACTTTGGAAGGCTTTCAGCTAAGGAAACTACCAGTGTATTGCCAAAAGAAAAAGGAGAATTAAAGGGAATTCCAATAAGTAATTGTTCTTGGGGCAGAACTACTTTGTGAAGAAGTTGACTGTGATCCAGGATGCCAAACTAGGAGGAAATGTTCAATTTCCCTATGTTTTCTTAATTATTTTCAGAAAGCATTAAGTTACATTTCAGTGTTTTTCTCCTTCCTAAGTAAAAAAACAAAAAAAAGCCAAAATGCCTCCAGAAAATTCCAGTTGTGGAGGCTTGAGGGGAGATTTTTTTTTTAGTCAAGGAGGTTATTAGTACATTGTTTCTAATGGAATTCAGGCAGGGACTTGAAAAAAATTGACACAGGGCGATATTTTACTTGAAGAGGTTAAAGTTATAAAGGTGCAACTGCACTCTCAGAACTTTTGAAATAGCCATGTAACTGACGAATGTTGTACTAGGTTTCGAGGCATGTTTTTTTTAGCATTAAATGATTGGAATTCAGTTTTCGTGTGTACGTCTCGTCACTGAATTTTTCAGCCCGAGGAGGAATACAGGAGGAAAGAGAGGAAGAAACTACCACAGCAGATAGTCCATCACACTCTCAAGAGACGCAACAGGAGACCCCCGAGGTGCAGCAAGCGTCCTCGTCATCAGGTAGAATTATTTTACTATTGCAGTATAATTTTCTCGCCTGTTATAGGAAAACAATGACAATAAGGGAGAAACTTGCAGGCTAAGACTTCTTCAAGCTTTTGGATCATTTTCCTTTTTTGCTTTCTTTTTTGGTGTTATTTTGCTATTTAAGGCCAGAGCACACGATCGGAGTCCAATTCGGAAACGGCAGAGCCAACGTCGCCATCAGCAGACACCAGCAGTGACGATGAAAGTCCGCCGCAAATAATGAGTGGAGTGTATGATGGACACGTAGTTGAGGCCACTCGTCCTACCACTCGTGGAAAATAAAAATTGTACCAAAAAAACATTTGTTCCACGTTTTTTTTTTCAATAATTCAAAATGCAGCGTTGCTTATTTGACAGTGACTTGGGCAGTGCTGAAGAATTCATGTTATTTTATTTTATTGCGAGGGGGTGATCCGAATAAGTATTTTATTCTCACATTGAAATGCATTCTATCGGAACTCAAAACCTGTTATTATTTATATGTTATCACTTAACCCGCTGGCGCGTCACTCGTAAATTTTAGCATCATGCTTTCCTTGATAAAACACAAAATTTTTTAATCTCTCGATCAAACCTATCTGAATGAAAATTCATGAATTTTACCAATATATATGATACATATTGTGCTTTTATTTAAAATCCTCTTTCGGATTCACAAAGGAAATGCTCTGCATTTTATGAAAAGAAGTGAAGACAAATCGATCTGCTGTGAGGACAAATCAATGTACAAATGCTTGCTTGTCTTTCTCCCTGAGAAATGAGTTCATAATAATTATCTTGTGTTTATGATAAATATGGATTGTAATGGATCCACGGTATTTTTCACAAAAATTTAATACAGCAATTTTGAATAACTTATTAAGTTATTGATTAGGTGTTTTCCGAATCAATGGAGCTCTTAATGTGAGTTTTGGACATACTGGGTAACTTGTTAACCCCTCTGCTGTGAATGAAAGAAAAATTATGCGTCAAACTTGAATGTATATGTGCTGCATATTTATATACACCGGATCCGCTTGCTTGAGAAATTATACGGAAGTGCAGTTGCCGAATTTTCACACGGATTCCGCCACTTTCAGTGATTATCGCCTGAAAAGTTTATCTTTTCTTCACGATGAGCAATTTGTATTGCATGTGAGCTTATGTACTGCATCTCATCAAGCATGATGGAGGATGTACAGTAATGTATGATAAGGGACTCCTACTCTCCCACAATCCGTGCTGACAGGTTTGCTGGACGGACAGATGAATGAGATAGAAAATGGCGGCCCGCCTCGTAAGGACTTCTTGAGCAAATGCTGGTTGATGTTCATGGCGGATTATTCTGGCACTTGTCTGGGGCATACACCGAAGCTCGACTGCACAGAAACCACCCCGCCCCCTGAGCTTGGTGGTCCGCCCCCCGCTAATCAGAGTGCTCCTGAAATACAGTGATACCCCCAGATGCCGACATAATTGGTGCATCAAGAGTGTCCCTAAGTTGAATTGTCCCTTAGTCAAGTCTTGCTTTCCCATATGATTTTTAATTGGTGTTTTATGGACAAAAAATTCTTCAGAATTCCATGAAAATTTTTTTTGCCACTTGAACTTGATTCAGTAAATATATTTTGAACCCAATAAGAACATTTGGAGCATTGAATACTATACCACTGTACAGTTCATTGAAATGTTGGCATCTGTAAAATGACATCCGGGTCACAAAAAGAGAAGGAAGTCCTTCTTTGCTACAGGTATTTTTTAAATTAGCTGAATGGATGGGAAAGTGATGGGAAAAGTACCTAAAATTTTTATTACATAGATCTTAGGGTTGGAAATATCTGTTTCTTGAAATTGAGCCTAATAAAAGAAAATTTTCCTAAAATGCATTGGCAATTTTATCATGCATTGTCCTCATGTCAAGTCAGTGTTCCTATGTTGGGCCTTTTTTTTATTAAAAAAAATAATAAATGTCCCTATTTTGAATTGTCCCCATGTCAAGGTGTCTGCATGTGCTGGGGGTCTCACTGTAATGCAGACCTTGGTGCACAGTCTTTCCTTGGGTGACAGACCCCCACCAGCAAGAAACTAGAGGGAGCTGCAGGTATTGGTCTCACACATGGCGGCTCCCGTTAATTCCGTTCATTCTGGTTGGATAAGGGTGCATATAGTAAGGGATCCCTATAGGACCCTTAACAAGCGACATCTACCCCTCCCATTTTTCCATCTCTAGCGCCTGAATGGATTACCCACCCCAGCGCAAGCAGGATACAGATGGTTATCTTGATCGGAGGAGGCGCGTGTGAGATCAGTGTTCCTCAGAGGCATTCCGTTGTTGAGCTTTGACCAAGGAAGTTGTGTTTTATCTGACTGACCTATTATTTTGTGATTGTGATATTTGTGTTGCGACAAGTCTGTCATTTACCGGAGTTTGGACTGAATTAAACGCTCCTGGTTAAACGTGACGCTGGCCGAGGACTTATTCCTTCAGTACCTTATTGGGGGCTCGTTCGGCTTTCCTGATTGTGCTAGTGTCACCACGATGACTCGCAACACGGAGAACTCCAGGGCCGCGGCACAACCGTACGTGCCTCCCGTGCCAGTGCAAGAAGACCCTCCCGCAGCTTCAGCGCCTGCGGGGTCTCAACCACCGCGGGACCCAGCCTCCCCATCACGGTCGTCGCAGAGCAGAACCCCAACACCTGCCTTGTCAGGCAGTTTGTGGGACGCTGTACCGCTATTGACACTCCAGTACCTCACCGAGGCATACCGCCTTCGGACACCCGCAAACGGGACGGATCGCTCAGGGTATGTCTGTCTTCTGGAAACCAACAGGATCCCGCCGTCGCTTGCCCAGGGGTGGATTCCACCCCCAGGGTGGCACTTGCGGCCCTTTGACCTCCAGATCACACCATGGACCGCACCGACAACAGAGATTGTCATGGCAGGACCTACAATCAACCCCGTAGGCCCACCCCTGTCTTACCGCCATCCTGGCAAACCGCAACTTGCCGACCTGCCACGTCAACAAGACAACAAAAATTTCAAAGACTACGCAGATCAGCTACGTCGGATGCCCGCCGTCAACAACATGTCAACGGATATGAAGGTGTGGTAACTCAGCCCCTTGTCAGACAATCCGCATCAATCCTGTACGGGAGAGGAATTGTCGGTTTCAAAGAACTGGTTGCAGCTATCGCCATCTCACACCCGACTCCTCACCTGGATCGATTGGACCGGTTTCGTCAGCTACGACTGCAGCACGGCAAGAGCTTCATCAGCTTCGGGGGAAGGTTAGAACACACCTTTCAATCCTTCCTTTCACCCCCCGGCCAACCGGTTACACTGGATCAACTCCGAAATAAAATACTGATCAAACAACTGATCTCGTCCGTGGCAACCGGTTTGCAAGACGAGCTAAGGAAAAAATGGATCGATAATCGCAACCTGACTTGGGACGAGGCGATCTACAAAGCTGAGCGTTTCTGGTTGCACCATCACGCAACGTTGCAAGGCGGAACGAGTTCTAGACCTGCTCCCAAGGCTGCGGGTACAACACGTCCACAGCAACAATGGTGCAAAGGACATCAAGCCAACGTTTGCCACTCACCACAGGACTGTCGAATCCTGCTTTGCCAACAAGGCCGTCAAGCACCATCCGCACCGGAGGCTCAGGCAGCGCAGCCGGCTGCACGACCCGCGCAATTGTCCCAGCCCCTATCTACTAATCATACGCCTTCCGGAAATACTATTTATTGCTTTCATTGTCATGCACCCGGGCACATTGGCAAAAATTGTCCGCTTGCGTTACAGGGAAACAGGCGTCCGTCATAGTGAACGCGGCTCACTGTGAAGAACGGGATCTCGCCGCGCCTCCACCCATCATCATACCTTTGCAGATTGGGAGCACTGTCATACCTGCTTTGATAGACACTGGGGCTTCGCATGCTTTCATTGCCCAGCAGCTGGTAAATACCCTCCATCTCCAACCCCAACCCTGTTCTATTCAGGTCCAGATGGCCCTCACTGCTGATACCTCAAAGGTCACACAGCAGGTGGCCCTTAATTTTGTCTTTCGTGGTCTCAACTATTCCATCATTCTTTTAATCCTTCCTCATCTTTCCAACCCACCGATTATCTTAGGTCGCACAGCGCTTCGGCATCTTCCTTTAGTCTTAACCCTTGACGGCGACAGGGCATTTGTTTGCTTCCAGCGCACAGTTCAGAACCGGGCGGCACCTACTCTTCCAATAGGCGAGGGCATTTCTTTCATTGATGGTTCAGACCAGGAACGGGGCAAGCTACGGCAAATTCTGATTAACCACACTGACGTCTTCCACCAGTGGTCCGGACGCCGGGGCTTTTTCCCCGAGCACACCGTTTCTTTGCAGACCATCGACAATCAGATACCCAATACTCGTTCATTCCGCCAGTCTGTTGAGATGAACAACCTTTTCTCCTCTCTGGTTGACGAGTACATCGAAGCCGGGATTATTGAGCCGGCCTCTTCTCCCTACAACTCTCCCGCTTTTTTGACTAAGAAAAAGAATCCCGACCCCAACGCCCCGCCTCACCGGCACTGGCGATTGGTAGAAAATTATCAGGCTGTGAATAATATTTTGTCCGACGACAGGTATCCAATGCCAATTATTCAGGATCTTTTGGACGCCCTAGGAAGGAATAATGCCTATTTTTGCAGCTTGGATCTCCATTCTGCCTTCCATCATCTCCCACTTTCTTTCCAGGATCGACCAAAAACTGCCTTTTGGACCCCGCGGGGCCAGATGCAGTATTGCGTGATGCCTTTTGGGTTGAAAAACGGTCCAGCAGCTTTTCAGCGGGCCATTAACCATATTCTCCGGTAACATTTATTTATACGCTGCCTAGTTTACATGGACAACATAATTGTCTTTGGCGAAACTTTTGAGATCGTCTGTTTTAATCTTAACCTTATTCTTACAGCTCTCAAACAGGCCGGCGCAGCAGTTGATCTCGCAAAATCTACCTTTTTAGCAAAAAAGACCATATTTTTAGGGCACGAGATCGACCAGACCGGCACCAGGGCCTTGGACAAAGACTTAGATGCCGTCCGTTGTTTCCCTAAGCCTGAGACAACTAGGCAGATGCAAAGGTTTTTGGGCATGGCAACGTATCTCCCCGCCCATCTGCCCACCAACTTCGCCACATCTGAAAAAGTCCTGCGGCAAATTATCCCTGCCAAACCAGCCACGCGCTTGCTATGGACCCCGGAGGCACAGGAAGCGTTTTCTCACCTAAAGGACATTTTGGCAAATTTGGCGCGCCTGGAGCAGATGGACCCCGCCTGCACGACCAAAGTCCATTGCGATGCTTCTTCTACCTCACTCGGAGCCATCTTGGTACAGTTGGACAAAGAGGGACACCTGCACGTCTTAGAGTACGCTAGCCGCACACTCAGCGACACGGAATCTTGGTATTCTAATTCAGAAAGAGAACTTTTAGCCATAGTGTCGGTGGTTACAAAAAAATTCTGCCATTACCTCAAGATGCGCGATTTTACTGTCTTTACCGATCATAAGGCGTTGTTGGGGGAACTTAAAACCACCCGCTTAATCTATTTGCAGACTAAACTGGCTCCTTCAGGGCAAAGATCGTCTACAAACCCGGACGCTTTCTCAAGGGCCCAGATGCGCTAAGCAGGGTAACCATCAATGCCGCCGAAGTCCGCGAGGTGCTAGATGAGGAACAACAGCACCAGATCATAGACAGCTACCATCAGGAGCAGGGCCATGCGGGTTGGAAAAAGATCTACCAGACCCTGAAACAGCGCTTCAAATGGAAATCACTCCGTCAGGATGTATGGAAACGCATCCAATGCTGCAAAACGTGTTTCCGCTACAATGCCCCCACCACAAAAGTCAGAGTCAAGCTGGAACCGATCATGTCGTCATCTCCCCGGCAGCAACTCACCGTGGACTTCTATGGACCTCTTCCAACCTCCACAAGTGGCCACCGTTACGCCATTGTAGCGGTGGACCATTACAGTAAATATATGATGGTGAAACCAATAGCTAACGCCGATACCCCCACAGTCGTACCTTTTCTTGCAGAGCTCTTCCGCCAATTTGGATTGTTTCAGATAGTTCACACCGATTGTGATTCTGTATTCCGCTCGCGCGCGTTTAAATGGTTTCTTCGAGACGCAGGGGTGCAGCAGCACGTAGCTCAAGCCTCCCACTCTGAGGGAAATGGATGTTGTGAAAGGGNTAATTGGTGCATCAAGAGTGTCCCTAAGTTGAATTGTCCCTTAGTCAAGTCTTGTTTTCCCATATAATTTTTAATTGGTGTTTTATGGACAAAATATTCTTCAGAATTTCATGAAAATTTTTTTTGCCACTTGAACTTGATTTAGTAAATATATTCTGAACCCAATAAGAACATTTGGAGCAGTGAATACTATACCACTGTACAGTTCATTGAAATGTTGGCATCTGTAAAATGACATCCAAGTCATAAAAAGAGAAGGAAGTCCTTCTTTGCTACAGGTATTTTTTAAATTAGCTGAATGGATGGGAAAAGTACCTAAACATTTTTATTACATAGATCTTAGGGTTGGAAATATCTGTTTCTTGCAATTAAGCCTAATAAAAGAAAATTTTCATAAAATGCATTGGCAATTTTATCATGCGTTGTCCTCATGTCAAGTCAGTGTTCCTATGTTGGGCCTTTTTTTGATTAAAAAAAATAATAAATGTCCCTATTTTGAATTGTCCCCATGTCAAGGTGTCTGCATGTGCTGGGGGTCTCACTGCAATGCAGACCTTGGTGCACAGTCTTTCCTTGGGTGACAGACCCCCACCAGCAAGAAACTAGAGGGAGCTGCAGGTATTGGTCTCACACATGGCGGCTCCCGTAAATTCTGTTCATTCTGGTTGGATAAGGGTGCATATGTTTGTTACAAAATTCAAGGATGGGTCAGGGTGTAGGAAATTAACAGACATCATCTGAGCATGCGGTAAAATAATAGTGGTAATTGGAAATAAGTGGGCAGGTTTAGTTTAAAAAAAAACCTTCATATTAAATGAGTTCATAAATAAATGCGTTTCTTGTAAAGAAATTCAAGCCAGGGTTTTGGAGTCAATTGTTTGTATCATAATCTTTTTTCAGTCAGCTTTGTCGAACTTTCACTTGCTGCTCGTCATTTAATAACAACCAGCAAGTGAAGTGATAATAATTTTTCTTTCTATGCTCATGGGATCTGCAAAAAAAAGAAACGCGCAAACAATAAGGTATATAATACAGTGATATAGTTTAACAACAAAGAATACATATTTTTCCTATGCTTCAGAATACTGCTGGACCCATCTCCCAGACAAACAAAATGTTCACCAAGGCAATTATTGGCAGTGTCAAAGAACGGATGAGTTTCCCCTTGCTGATATGGTATACTGGAGTCTTAATTCAATTAAGCTGTCATTAGCCATATTTCTGGTTCTCACTGCTTATTACAAGTTCTAAGTTCATTATTTGAAGGTACAGATCAAAGTAAATATTGATTCATTTGTGTCAACCACTTTCACCCTGAAAATGCCATTTTTGTAATATTATACAGTACTGAATTGCTTATTGGAGCGCCGTTGACCTTCATCAGCAGTAACGTTCAAGTAGACCTGGCCTGAAGAAAATTAGAAAATAATCTAAAAAATGTAAACAGCTTCCAAAAATCTTTGATTTCAGGATGCATTATTTATTTGAGCATCCTATAAAGGATTCCAAAGAGTTCTTTGGAACCCTTTATAGTTTATGGGATGCTCAAATAAATTACAAAAAGGCAGTCAATAGAATAACACAAAAAAGACTAGACAGTTTCGTGGATTTTCAGGGTGAAAATAGTTGACACAAATGAATCAATATTTACTTTGATCAATACCTTCAAATAATGAACTTAGAACTTGTAATAAGCAGTGAGAACCAGAAATACGGCTAACCACAGCCTAATTGATTCAAGACTCCAGTACCATAGCAGCAGGGGAAACTCATCCGTTCTTTGACACTGCCAATAATTGCCTTGGTGAACATTTTGTTTGTCTGGGAGATGGGTCCAGCAGCATTCTGAAGCATAGGAAAAATATCTATTCTTTGTTGTTGAAAACTATATCACTGTATTATATACCTTATTGTTTGCGCGTTTCTTCTTTTGCAGATCCCATGAGCATAGAAAGAAAAAGTATTATCACTTCACTTTCTGCTTGACTTCACCCTGGACGTCCAGAGAGCCCACACACAGAAGCTTATCTGATGGAAGATCAATGGAGTGTCGTCGGGACTCTCGGGAGTGGAGCAACCAGAAGAAGCAGGAGTGATCATTATGTGTTGACGTCTTGACTTGAAAACATATTATATTTTATCCCTGACTTATGCTTGACTCTGTGTTTGTCGTCATGAAGATAAACAAAAGTTATCGTCATGAAGATAAACAAAAGTTATCGTCATGAAGATAAACAAAAGTTATCGTCATGAAGATAAACAACAGAAGTTGGTCCAAGTTATTGCCTTTTGGAAACAACCCTTATTGCGCGGTTGGTCTCCGGACACTTGATGCGCAACGTTTTTCATCTTCGAGGTCGTGTTGAATTCATGTGAATAGCAAGTAAGGTGGTCGAGTGAAACTGGCGGTTACCTATAGCGATGTTCATTGTCTAAATACTACACGGTACGGTGTACATCATATACGTTGAATTATTTGGCGAGCATTGAAAACCATTCCAGCAGTAGCTGGCGGATATATGGCACGTTCCTTATCACTCATACGTGTGTGTCATTGTCGCGTAGATATCAATTGATAATCTCTATAAGGTGTCACCAGAAAAATTTAAAATTATGGATCCTCCAAGAATCGATGTTGCTTTTCCGCAAGGACTAGAGGAGGAATCACTGAGGCCGTTTTCTTAGGTACCTGAAAGGTTACTAAGGGTACGTCATGGTAAGTGCGTTAGTAGGAGAATAAGGCCTCCAATCAAGGACGTTTATTATTTGGGTCGTCTTATTCACGTACTGCGGATTTTGTTTTTCGCTGGTATTATCAGAACCGAGGGACTTCATTATACTGTATATAATCTTCATCAAACATAGCTGCCTGATACCAAATTGAAATCTCAAAAATGGCAATCAAAGTTCAACATTCAAAGGATGATCCGAAGAATTTGACGCTATCTTTCATTGGCGCTACATTTTGAAAGAGGCGACTCACTGCAAATCTGCCATGGCTTCTGTGTTGTACCGCCATGGTTTTGGTCTCTTGCCATCTATACAACGCAGATATACAGCATAGAAACGGTCAAACCTCTATAAGCCACCACCAGCACTTGTCTGTGAAGTTTGTGGCGATTTAATAGGGTTGGCAGTTTAAAGGTGGTTAATTGGTGGTTTAACAAAAGCTAAAATACTATGAAACCAAGTACAGTATATGATGGGAGGAACAATTCTCACTTATCTAGAAAACAATCAAAATAAACCTGGGATTCATAAATTGAATCCAGCTAATTTTTTCACAAAGTAAATTATTCAATCTTTCTGTTCGTGTGTGTGTGTGTGTTTTTTTTTAAATTGGTGGCGCATAAAAATTCAAAGCTTGTTGGCAAGCTATCAGACAAAATTGATTGGAAGGAGCATATTTGAATTGTGAATAATTTTGATGGATGGCATTTTCATGAAGTTTCATATTTCAAGATTCTGTCCAAAATTTAGAACCATATTTCAGGTTGGGCATGCTCTTCTTTGATTGTTTCTCTACCAGTGCAGAACTCAGTTTCTTCATTTCATGTTGCTGAATGTGTTACAGGCAGTTCTTCACAACCTGAAGAGACGCCCTCTGAGAGCTCGGCACCAGCAAATTCAGGTGAAATGTCTTCTTATAGCGGAACCTCGATTATTCAAGCAAATAATAGCCTTTTCTGAATAATCAAGAACCATCATCATTGAAGAAATCCTATGCTTTACTTGTATTCGTTGTACATATGCTGATTTTCCTTTCCTCTCAACTTCAATTTTCCATGGAAATCCAAGCAGGAGAATAAATATCAACTGCATATAAGGTAAAAACTGGTTCTTTATTCAAGTCCGATCCTATAATAACCACCTATGAGAAACGCACTTGACGAACACCATCATTTGTTTTTAAAATTTTACGTTCAATGAATTACGGCAGCTGCAATTGTTAATTCATCATTGAATATAAGTAGAAATCGATTATGTTCACTTTGCATACTTATGTTTGTTATTTTTACTTTACTTTTACACTAAGTTCATGTACGTCAAGTGAAGTATAACACAATGATGCTCATCACTTTTTATCGCCTACTTTTGTTAAAAATAAATTCCGTTTTATTTAAGTTTGAAGTTTGCTTAACTTAACCACGTATTTTTTCATCAGTTTAACTTACACTTTTATGGGAACATCGGCTGTTTGAAATAAATTAACAATACGAAACGGAAGATTTTTATAATTTTTACATTCGCCGGAAAGCAGGCAGAAATGGTAGAATTATATTGAAGCTGATTTGAGGAATTTTTTTTCCGTGAATGTCATATTTGTGCCCTTCAATTGACGTGGTCGTCTATATGGTAAGGGACTATATAGGCAATAAAAGTGACAACGTGCGACGAAATATCAGCTGAAATAAGATTACTCCAAAGCAATATGTTTCACCTGTCATTTGATCTTGAATTCAACTTCGCATCTATTTCGTTTGTTTATCCTTGTAGTTGTACACTGCTGTACAGAGGTATGAAAATTTGTGTAATTTTCTAGACCGTCTGTTGTGAATATGTGATCAATGGAAAAATCCGAAACGAGGCGGATGAATTTCGCAGCAGTGCTCCTCGAATAATGCATTTTCGAAATCATTCTGGTGTAAGTCACTTGGACAATGTTGAATTATTTTATACTGTATTTTACGTTTTTTCTTAGCTTTTTCTGTATGTATTCGTTACCCAAAAGATTGATGGTCTAAAATACACCAAGAGCAACGAGTTTTGTGATTCTACATTCTCAAATATTCAATTCTGTGGGAATTCATTGTACAGTAAAAAAAATTATGCGATAAAATACTGCTTAGTATCCGGAAGCAAATTTATAGTACTAAAGTACAGTATATATTTCGTCGGTCTCGTCCGTATCAATTGGAGCCTCTCGCATATCATGTGGATACCCAATTTTTGCGTTTTGAATCTTATGATTCTGCAGTATTTATCACAGTGCACACTGAGAACCGTATTTTCGACCTGATGTATGCCCAATATGCGGTACTTGAATTTCATGCAGGTTTTTTTTTTTCTGCTATTCAAGGTCAGGGTAGCCAAGGGGAGGAAAGTCAGGAACCAGAAGAGCAGCCGCCAACGCCGGACTCGAGTGAGGATGAAAGCTCCCAGCCCGATAATTCACACGTTTACGACGGGGTTGTAGTTGAAGCCACTCGTCCCGTCAGTGGGAAATGAACTGAACAAAGAGTGGAGAATGGAACTCATCGACTTGACGATGATTCGTGTGAAGATCCTCACTTGACACCGCGGAATGCAATAGAGCTTTCTGAAAGAGAGAAAAAAAAGCGTTCATATTTACCTGAGATAGTGTGTTCCTCGTATTCGGTCGCCACCCGTGCAATACTCCAACAGTTAAGCATCAAGTCGAATTGGATGGGACTCCGAGAAACATTAACTTGGAGAGTTTTTGAGTTCAGGACTTGCTGGGCGCGGTACATGACAAAGGGTTAGAAATAAAACACAGAACACAGCCTTTAGGAGGCTGGATCCTCCTTAAGGGAGTCCCTGATAAATCCTCGTTTAATTCCAACCAATTGAACCTAACCGCAGGCAATCAGGCACACAAGACCAATCCTACTACAGACTCCTCACACTCTGACAACAGAACAAGCACACAAACAAGTGTGCAAGTGCAACCCCACAGGACTTTGGCTTCATGTGGATAGGTTATGATCAATAGAAATTCTTTCTGGCAAAATTATTGCAAATGTTCCCTATTCCTAGAATTCCTGCCTGCAGGATTATCCTCTATATTCGCCCTTGAAGTCCCGTTTTTCTACCTTGGGTAAGCCTTAATTATGCTCAAAAGCTTTTTTATTGGTAGTCTTTTCACGAACGATATGTCTTGGATATATTCCGGTTGAGAGTGAGTTTAACGAAGTTTAAAACGGTAGATAGGTACTTTATTTCATTACAAAGATGGACCAAGACATGAATCGATAATTAATCGTCCTCAGATGCAATCGATTTTTCGCTATGAAAAGCTCAGAGAAAAATTTGGCAGATGTCCTCTGACGTTTGCGTCGCAGATTTCTAGTTTTCATCTGGGATCTTTTTGCTTAATTTCCTAATTTCAGGGGCATTGATACGGAAGCTTGAGTTTTTGAAGTATTCAGTTTAATGCATCACACCATTGCTGGAAAAACTGTGAGGGACACATTTAGTATGCCTGTGAGACCACGGATGATTTTGACACCATAACCTTGGTGTGAAAAAAACTAAATCCCTTCTTATCTTCATCGCTTTTAAAGTAAGACTCGTCTATGTGTATACAGTATAGAAGCTTCAATTTTTTAATCTTATCTCCTCACGTTTTGTCTGAGTCCGTACCCAATGTAACACTGCAGTCTACGCATCGTACAATACATGCGTTTAGTTATCTGAAGTCTCGACGTCCTACCTAATATGCCTGAATGTACTTGCGCGTCTTATTATTGTTTACTAAATTAGGGTAATTAGTGGTACAGTATATCGTCTACCGATTGGAAACGCGTGTATTGTTTGATATCCTTGCCAGAATTCATGTTTTTTTCAAGCTTCGTGGCGTAACCAATTTTAATGGCCGGAAACGTGTTGTTGGATTCTATCAATGCTCGGTAAAACTGCACTTTTGTTCGCACATGTCAAAAGCGACGTCTTTTTATTAGCTTCATACCCATGAAGCCTTTCGTTTCAAGCGCTATGCTTGTGGTATGCTTATGAAGCACTACGAGCGGCGGGAGATCCTCGAGTCGCTTATCTGAGGATGGCATTCCAGTCAAGTCGACTTGCTGAGGACACCCGAGCAGTACCCTTCACGCAATCATCTTCAGCTAGTTTGGGAGGCTAGTTCATTTGAAGCACTGTAAAATTTTTTTCAACAACGTTGAGATAAAAAAAACCTCTTTGATGAAACAAAGCTGTCTTTGGAATGACTGCCGACCTGAATAATGTACAGTAATATAGTGAATAACTGAATGAATTCCCATCAACGAAATTCCGCGAGCAAAAGTACGGTAACTTCTCCCACTCATATATAAAGTTTCCCTCACATCTGATTGATTGAGAAAAAAATAAATAATTTTTTTTTCTAGTTTACCAACGAAGCACAATCTGAGAACCCAATGCAACGACTTTACAAAGTCGGCCTCCTCCTTAAATATGCTGTCGATCATGTCTTTCAGTCCTACCCTGCAGTGTGGAGAGTTCAGCACAAGGGGCCTCAGGTGAATTTCTTATTCACAAATTAATGGATTCCTCGTAATAGACATCCATGTTTCTTCTAACGTCAGTGAATTGATACTGCACTCTGCAATTAGAAAATTATCAAATATAATATAAATGGTTTCATTTTTTTTTACCTTTTCCTTCCGTTATTCTCTGAACGAGAAGCGTCGCAAATGTGAAGCAAGTGGTATCATGATATCAGAAAGGCTTTGATTTATTCCTGCGTGAATTTCGTATAAATCACGAATAAAAAGCATGCACATTTATTTTTGCAGTAAAATCTCGGTGCAAGAAAGCCTATGGGACGGTATGGGACCAGGAAAACATTTTCCTCATATTGTAACAAGAAATCGCGGGAAAGAAATTGAAATAACATTGATGCTATTGGGCAGGGCCTTAAAACCATTTCACTGTGAGGAATAAATCCTCAAAACAATTTCATTGTAAGGAATAATTCCTCAAAACGAGGTCCGTTGGAATACTGTATTTAAATTATATTGCATATTGGTGAACACATTGAACGAAGTTCTTTTCATGCGTGAACAAAATCCCTGGTGAAAAAGTCTACTCAAATCTTAATTAACTTCCTCAGTCTGGGCGCTAAAAATAAAATGGAAACTTCTGCCAATTTATAGGTGTATTCTCAAAGACAGAAACTGTAAACCTCCTGACCCTTGAGCCAGCATAAATCAAATTGGACAATAACCGCAAGCGGAACCCAATTGAACCCTTCCATTCTATACTCGTATACAGTACTTGTTTTCGCACAGATAAAAACGAGCTTTTAAATTTATTAAGCTCATAAGATCGTTCTGATTCTTTCAAGATTTTTGTTTTCGCTGTTTTTAAAGACCAGCTTCAAAGTGCCCCATCGGAGTCCAGACCGGAACCGGAACCGGAACCAGAGCGACCGCCAAATATTTATTAAAAAAAAAGATCAAATGGTTGCTTCGTGTTAGACTCTTGGGTTACGTTGCTGAAATGTTTCAGCCGGAGGAGGAATTTATACGACAGCTAGTACAGAAAGTCAGGATGGGACGTCACAAGAGAGTTCAGCACAAGGGGCCTCAGGTGAATTTCTTATTCACGTATTAATGGATTCCTCGTAATAGACATCCATGTTTCTTCTAACGTCAGTGAATTGATACTGTACTCTGCAATTAGAAAATTATCAAAATTAATATGAATGGTTTCATTTTTTTTTTACCTTTTCCTTCCGTTATTCTCTGAACGAGAAGCGTCGCAAATGTGAAGCAAGTGGTATCATGATATCAGAAAGGCTTTGATTTATTCCTGCGTGAATTTCGTATAAATTACGCATAAAAAGCATGCACATTTATTTTTGCAGTAAAATCTCGGTGCAAGAAAGCCTATGGGACGGTATAGGAACAGGAAAACATTTTTCTCATATTGTAACAAGAAATCGGGGGAAAGAAATTGAAATAACATTGATGCTATTGGGCAGGGCCTTAAAACCATTTCACTGTGAGGAATAAATCCTCAAAACAATTTCATTGTAAGGAATAATTCCTCAAAAAGAGGTCCGTTGGAATACTGTATTTAAATTATATTGCATATTGGTGAACACATTGAACAAAGTTCACTTCATGCCTTATCAATATCCCTGGGAAAAAAGTCTACTCAAATCTCAATTAACTTACGCAGTCTGGGCAGCTAAAAGTAAAAAGGAAACTTCTGCCAATTTATAGGTGTATTCTCAAAGACAGAAACTGTAAACCTCCTGGCCCTTGAGCCAGCATAAATCAAATTGGACAATAACCGCAAGCGGAACCCAATTGAACCCTTCCATTCTATACTCGTATACAGTACTTGTTTTCGCACAGATAAAAACGAGCTTTTAAATTTATTAAGCTCATAAGATCGTTCTGATTCTTTCAAGATTTTTGTTTTCGCTGTTTTTAAAGATCAGCTTCAAAGTGCCCCATCGGAGTCCAGACCGGAACCGGAACCGGAACCAGAGCGACCGCCAACGCCGGACACGAGTGACGACGAAAATCCGCCACTGAGTGGAATGTACGATGGACACGTAGTTGCAGCCACGCGTCCGAGTGGTGGAAAATAAGCTGAACTACTTTTTTATAAATAGAACTGATTTTCTTCACGATAATTTATTGTTTGATAATGCATGAGTCAGTGATTAGGTGACGAATGCCGATGAAATAAAATCGCTACGACCACTTCCGCAAACCCTTCTGAGAGTTATTTCTAGCAGAAAAGGACCCATTTAAAATTGTTGAAAGGCTCTAATTTCATTCTAAAATGTGAAATTGCAACTCATCAACTCGTGGTGTTCAAAATGCATGACTGTCAGCTCAAGATTACGCATTTTCCAAACAGTTTCCTGTAGGAAAATCACGATACAGTATTGACTTAATGCGCTTACGATTATAGTTCATTTGGTCAACGTACTAACGTGCATATGTTTTTAGATACGGTTTGGTAGCCAAACCTGGTTTTCAAACGCATTTTTTTGGAAAGAAATTAATCCATTCCTACTGCCGCAGAAGCACATATGTAATTGTTTATTCAATTAATTATACCTTCTAATTATCAGCAAGTCTGTTTCTCCTAGCTCCAATCTAATTTTTCCGAGTTTTTCCTTCTCTAGTTAAAAAGTTGAAACATTTTTCACAACTAATTTCAGTATGGGATGCATTCTTTCATGTTCAATATCACTTTTTTCAAAATCTATGTTTTGAGTTCTCGATTTCTTCCCTTCTCAATTGAATTTATTTAACACAGAGTTAAAAAAAAACCCAACGCGCTGTTTCCCCCCTCTGATGCGATTATGTATTTTAAAATCGTGTGCCTCATCGAATCATGGATTCTAATGACAGCACAATCATAGCATATATCAACAATACATTCCACAAAAAAACACGTCCATATAATCTAAAAAGGCATACGTGTCTTTTGAGTTTTGGCCTGTGCTTGATTATTTTACGAAGATAGAAAACGGAATGTTCAGAAAGATCACTTGTCACGGCAGAAGTGTTTGTTTTAACAAACAAGAAAACGGCGAAGGTTTTTTTTTCCGCGACGATTTCTTACAGATCAGGCGCCTCGAAGTAAATACTGTACGTCAACGACATCTAGGCAAGAAGGAAACGAACTACGAGAGACAGCTTTGTTTGTATTTCGAAGGTGCAAGTACTGTACCTGCATGGCAACATTTGTTGGAAGTCTTCAACACACTTCTTGAAACAAAGCAGAAATACAGTGAGACCCCCACATGTGGACACCTCAACCTGCAGACAATTTGACATAGGGACACTTATTTTCCCAGAAAAAATTAATAAAAAAGTCCCAACATGAGGACACTGACTCAACATAAGGACATTTTTGTGATAAAATTGCAACTACATTTTAGGCCAAATTACAATAAACAGATATTTCCAACCCTAAAATTAGCATAAGAAAAGTTCTTGGGCATTTCTCTCACCAATTTACCATCCATTTAGCTAATTGAAAAAAATTACCTCCAGCATAGATGAGGGACTTCTACTTTTTTCACTTGCATGTTATTTTTGTGGATGCCAACATTTCAATATACAGTACAGAGATACAATATTCAATGCTCCAAATGATCTTACTGATTTGAAATTTATTCACTAATTCAAATTCAAGTAGCAAACAATTTTTTTCAGGGAATTCTGAAGAATATTTCTCACATACAACACCAATTAAAAATTACATAAAATAAGTCTATGGGAAAACAAGACTTGACTTAGGGACATTTCAACTTCGAGACACTCTTGATGCACCAATTATATCCACATCTCAGGGTCTCAGTGTATATACGCAGAATCATTCTTCAACTGTTCCAGGCATGCCTGAAGCTCCCATGGAACTGAGAAAATCGGATCCGCACGCATTGTTCCTATATCAAACTTCAGTATAGCAACGGACACGCAGTACTAGAGACCAATTAATGATCACAGCTGCCATCTTAGGCTAAATGAAAAAAAATGTGATAATTTTAGTCGCTGCTCTTTCATTGTAGGCTTGTTCGAGCCCCAGCATAGCCATTATTGGGCCATGATGACTCCCGTGAGCCCCAAAATACTCTCACCCCAGTTTTCCGACTGGGCTATTATTATACAGTACAGTACAGTACTGTGACTGTGAGGGAATGAATCACTCAAAGATGCACATCTATGGTTCATGAAGAGATGCTGCATCGAAGTTGGGATTATCTTTTCCAGAAAATTCCAATTTCGGTGTTCGAGTCTGTTCTTGAAAAAGCCTTATCAAAAAAATTGTCCCCCTATAGCATCATGTCTATAATGCGTCATGACTCTATAAATAGGCCAATACGAAACCCAGTTCCAACTTGATGGAAGCGTTATAAGAATTTATCTCACATCTGAAGGGGATATATACGTTTTATTAAATCGGATTCGGGATCACTTTGTTCGCTAGAGGAAAAGTGTACATTGTATTGGGTCACCGGTGTACCTGTGGGGCTCGTGGTACCTGCAAATGATTTCCTTTTTCGAGTCTTCTCGCAAAGACGGAATCATCTCGAACAGGTGAACTTCATCGCAAAAGTGCATCAGCAGCACAGATCCTAAAAAAGTAGCTCTCATTGGTCATCACTGCATTCACATGAAGCATATAATCCAAAAGAAATGCTAGGATTCACACATTTAAACTGAAGAAAAAGATCGCTGGCAAATGCATGTTCCGTAGATTCTGCCAGGAACTCTGTGACATTGAATGGACGGAAAAAGCACCCATTTTTCATTGTGAAGTAACTCAATCTTCGAATATAGTAGGATTCCACTGACTAAAGGCTGATGAAGTCAAATTACAGTACAATATTTGTACAGAAATTCCATTTGACGAGGAACCCATTCTTTCAAGAATCTGATTGCAATTCTGAAGTTTATTTATACTTCTTGTTCAGAAAAGTCTGTAAAATTATTCTCAGTGGCAAAAAGATGTTCCGATGAGTTGCTGAGAATTTAGTTCCATTGGCAAGTGCACTTCTTAAGGCTCACTCCGTATAAATTAATGTGTATAGGCAAGTCACATGCGACTCCAATAAGGCGCCACAAATGATCCCGAAATGCGGAATTAAATATCTTGACTTCGACAAAGGGCATTCCTTCATCAACATATCGGATACCAGCAAAACTCGAGGGAAGCTACGTTGAACATTTATAAACTATAGTCTTACATGGAAATTCATTTGATATTTTTGAGTTTCGATGTCTGGTCGATTTATCCCTTCCGTCTGGCAGAGTAAGTGAAACGAGATACAGTATCTAAAATCCTCCACGCTCAAGTTTAGACAATGAGTGTTTTTCACACGATGTCTCTCAATGCCCGACATGAAGTCATTTGAATGCTGATCGGAATTATTTGAAGGACACTTCAAAAACACAATCATAACAGAGGAAAAAATCGCTCGAAACGTGCGCATACAGAGGAAGGTGATTCAGTTCGGTTCTTTTTCTGAACGATGAAATGACGAAAAGACAGAAATGTCACGTATATTTTCCGATTATTTTGGTAGATTACAAAGAAAACTGTTCTGCTGCGATATTCGCCGTTTCAGAATATGCTGTGTTGAAAAATAAATGAATGAAATTGGCTCACCGATGAATCCGGATGACGGCGCTAGAGTTCTCAAGTGCACCGTTGACATTTCTTGCAAAATATCCGCAATTGACCAAATCCATTCGGGATCTAGGAAATAAATCTCTCGATCTGGATTCGCAGCTCGGAACTTGAAAAACGGCTGCAGAGGCTCGTTGCTCACGACTCTGGATATCTTCGTCGAGTTCATGTTTTCCAAGCACTTCAAAAATATTCCCCGCCGGTTTAGTTGTACCAGAATTAAGATAAAACGAATGCCAGTAAGTAGCTTCATATTTACTCTAATCCGTGTACAGTAACTTTTTTCTGAAGTATTGAATCTTGAAAAAAAAAGTGCCGCGCCTTGATTCAGGATTTAATTTTCATTTAACGCATCAAATTCTGATTATTTGTCTAGCATTTTTTACCCAGTCTTCGAATGTTGAATAAAAAAATAATATAATGCAGACTGCAGCTCCAATTTCAATCTGATCGCAGGAAAAATTATTGGACCATTCAAAATCCCTCTAAAGCATTTTCAGCTTATTCTAACGAATAGAAGATAGCGCATCTCGATTTCAAATTTGATTTTTCTTCAACTCATCATGGGTTATATTTTTTTGGAAATTTCTCCATAATCTCGAACAGTGAATCAACGGATGAACTGTTACAAACAACAGTCTTAATAATAGTCCGGTCACAAGAAAAATTGAACTTCGGTCAAAATGTTCGTGAAGGCCTCAGAGGAAACTAGGGAAAAATTGCCACACCTAGATTGACATTATTTTCTCATAAAACTATCGATCTATATTTTTTTTGGAAAATTTTCCAACATTCTAACATTTTGAATTGAAAAAAGATAATACAGTATAGAAATCTCTGAACGCCAGCTTAAATTTGATCCGGACTGCAGGAAGCATTTGTATTTATTTATAATTGGTTTAAAATATTGGGATCTGTGGGAAAAACTGGCATTCTTTTTTTAAATTTACTTAATTCCAAAAGGAATAAATTATTTTTTAAAAGCTGATACTTTTGAATATCGAATCGACAAATGAGTGAAACGGACGTCAGCAGCCATAATTCCATTCAGTCGCAATAGAAAAAAAAAACATTTGACGGTGAACTTCTGTCAAATAACCCCAAGTAAATGTAAAATGCCAAATGGATCAGCAAGAAAAGCTTACCCTGTGATCGTAAGCACCTCGATGAGAGCAAACGTCCCATCCAATGAGAGTAGCGTTTTGCGTGTCCGGGTAATTAACTCCAAATGTTCTTATTGAGTTGAAAATGTATTCACTAATTCAAATTCAAGTAACAAATAATTTTTTTCAGGGACTTCTGAAGAATATTTCTTCCATACAACACCCAATAAAAACTATATAATAAAAGTGTATGGGAAAACTAGACTCGACTTAGGGAAAATTCAACTTAGAGACACTCTTGATGCACCAATTATATCGGCATCTCAGTGTCTCACTGTATATACCTGGTATCATTCTTCAATGGTTCCACACATGCCTAAAGCTCCCATGGAATAACTGAGAAAATTGGATCCGCAGGGGTTGTTCCTGTATCAAACTTGAGTATAGCAACGGACACGCAGTATTTGAGACCAATTACTGATCACAGCTGCCATCTTGGGTTAAATGAAAAAAATGTCATGATTTTAGTCTCTGCTCTTTCATTGTAGGCTTGTCCGAGCCCCAGCATAGCCATTATTGGGCCATGATGACTCCCGTGAGCCCCAAAACATTCTCACCCCAGTTTTCCGACTGGGCTATTATTATACAGTACAGTACAGTACAGTACAGTACTGTGACTGTGAGGGAATGAATCACTCAAAGATGCACATCTATGGTTCATGAAGAGATGCTGCATCGAAGTTGGGATTATCTTTTCCAGAAAATTCCAATTTCGGTGTTCAGACTCTATAAATAGGCCAATACGAAACCCAGTTCCAACTTGATGGAAGCGTTATAAGAATTTATCTCACATCTGAAGGGGATATATACGTTTTATTAAATCGGATTCGGGATCACTTTGTTCGCTAGCTTCGTACACCGTGCTGTTCATTGATTCTTAAAGTGGAGTGAAAACATCGACGCAATGTAAGTACGGATTCTGGAATTCCGTAATTTTTCAAACAGTTGAATATTTAAATTTTAAATTAAACGCGGATGTGATTGCGCGGAACTGAATTGAGCCCACGGAACTTACTTGTTTTTCTGTCAGTGGTCAACCGAGAGAAAACGGTTTTCTTACTCACTTAAACGTCGATTGTCTCTCAATGACTCGTTTTCCGTTCCTGTTCAATTGATGTCACCTGAATCCCGTTAATCTTGTTCGTATAATAGTTAGATCTTGCACCATCAGATTGAAAGCAGTTTAGACTTAGTCAAGGAGCCTTGGTGCAAAATTTTCGGTTTCGTCAGATTAGGCTAAGTTAATATGGTCGTGCTTGAGGCAATAAACAATAAAGCATGTGCGCTGAATATGGATGGATTGAAAACAGACGAGACACTTTTTTAAAACCTATATTTCTAATTTCAGTGGAAATGAATAATATTCAGATACTTATCCCTTGCATTTTTGGATGATTGTTCAATTATAATACTTTTATTTATTTATTTGTTTACAGAAAAAGCAAAATGGAACACGCTTGGCGAAAGGCTCTCATCTTAATGATTTGCTGCCCCTTTTCCGTAAATTCAATACGGAATAAGTGTGGAACATGTGAACTGTTGAATCGTGAGACTCCGGCTCACATCAGGTGTCCCACGCACACGCTTGGCGAAAGGCTCTCATCTTAATGATTTGCTGCCCCTTTTCCGTAAATTCAATACGGAATAAGTGTGGAACATGTGAACTGTTGAATCGTGAGACTCCGGCTCACATCAGGTGTCCCACGCTTGAGCATTGTGGCCAATGCAAAATCGGGTTCAAGGCGGATATTTTGAGCGATGGAAAAATGACGGACACCTGCTTTGCGGTCCATGAGCAGTCTTCCACACCGAAATTGGAAAATAGCAAAGGTTCTTCAGAAAATTTACAAAGTGAGTACAGTACCTTACCTTTCTCCCGGCGGGTGACTTCATTTTATAAAATTTCTAGAATGGCCAGGCTTCCCAGCAGGATCGTTCAATTGGTGCTTTTGAATTTATAATTTATGTTTTACGAGTATGAATAATCATTTCAAAACGTTTGCTTGTGTCTTATAATTTTCACAGTTCGTGCAATTTTGATCCTGACGTCCACACTCTTCGCTGGATTTTGCGTGTGCGCATCAATTCTTCTCATCATTTTTCTTCGGAAATACCGAAGGAAAAGGCGTTTGACTGCTGCGACGGATGAAGAATCAATCGTGTCAAAATCCTTGGTCGACAGCAGCGAAATTCAAGGTTAGTAAAAAAAAAGCTTTATTTCTGTCACAGATTTGGAACGAAGTAACGAGTTTTTTATTCAAACAATCAAAACGTGTTGAAGACCAGAAATATTGAAGTACGATTAGCTTGAAATGTTTGTGTCAAAGCTTCGTAAAATTTCGAACAATTAATTGATGCATCGATGACTTTTCTAGAATTTGGAAAGATCAGCAAAAAATAATTTTATTTCTTGAGTTAAATATGTAAAATTATCTCCTGTAAATTCATTTGAAACGAAAGAATTTTTTAGGGATGGAGTCCTATATTGAATTATCATGCATACTCAGCTCAGCAGTTCAATTTCGTTCGTATTGCGTCTGTTTGCAGTACTAAAATGCACGATATTCAGAAAAAAATAGTGATACAAGGCAGGATGCGATTTTTAAAAACCGGATTTCGTTGCCTCGAATAATTTAAATGAAGCAAAAACAAGCACACACGGCTTTGTTATTTGTATTGACCTTTATCACTAATTAAACCAAATTTCCAGCATTCCGTTTTTGGCGAACAATATTTGTCCACACCTGTCTAATGTAGATGATGTCGTTGCGGTAACCTCTGAAAATGTACTTTTCAGATCCAGACAATTACAGATAGAGCACCGCCACGTTTTAATCGATTAATAATTTAATTGCAGCAAAGATTCCGCTTGCGCCTTCTTTTTTCGGACACTTTCCAGCGCCAAATCGTAGAAAAGTCTTAAAATTTGCCGGCAGTTCAAGAATGATCATGCAAGAACGTGATGGTGTGAATCACAAAGATCTGGCTGTTTTTGTTATTCTTAAATTCCGAGCAAAAATTATGCTTCCTTTTGAATGAAACATAATTAGTTTAAATGTGAGTATTTGAAATATTAATGCTCTTGCTGTTGACAACATTTTCGGAATTTTTCCTTTACCCTAAAAATGAGTCACTCGAAGAAATACTTTTGTATGAATATGCCTCGTCATCGAGATGCAGCTAAAATGAAAAGAATGACTAACTTCGATACAATTTTAGAATTTTTATTTTCATATTTTCAATGCAGCTCATCAGGAGTATTATAATTCTATGATCATTTACACGGGGAAAAATTTGACTGGAAATAAATTTTTATTGAGGAACATAATTACCAACCATACACAGGTTCAATTTGTCTTGAATACTTCGCTCTGCGTCTTTGTCTTGGATCCGATTCTTTTTTTAATTTGACATACCGCTGTAATGTAATTAAATCTTGTGCTCGAGAATCTTGCGAAGTAAAGGATGATTTTAATTTTATTTTGAAGGTCCAGAATCCATGGATGTCAGCAAAGGACAACCGGTTGTTTGGGAGAAACGATCACGACATGCATTGAACGGTCCCATTGAAGAAATTGTGAACCTTGTTGGTCCTATTACGAATCGAAGACCTATCGGTGTTGTAGTCGACATCCACGGAAGGAACGACGACCGCAGAGCCTTCACAAATTCTGCCTGTCGAACACTTCAATCAACCCTCGTTTGTGAGTATTTATTTTAATGAGAAATGGTT